TAGGGGGTGATGTTGCTGTAGTCGAACGGTGAGACGGACGTGTAGTTCAGTTTTGGGCACGCGTACGGTGCTGCAGGGATTATATATAGGTGTAGTAGTACCTCTTCGGGCTCTTGTACACCTTTTTCTTGCTACGTGTGCGTGTCATTTAGATCCTCAGGTGACTCCAGCACTTTCGTGACCACGGGCCGAGAGTCTTTGCTAGATTTTGGCATTTAGCAACTGGCATACGGTTTAATGTGAAGTCAACAACAACAACAACATCTTGGTGATGGGCCCAGACACAGAACACTTTGCCGTTGCTGGGGCATCCACCACTCGTCGCCGACGAAAGACCTGCCATGTTTTTGTTTTTTTTTCTCTTCCATCATTGGACTCTGTCGTCTGCCCCTCTGGCCCCTATCCTCCACTTGTACCAGCTAGACGACCTAACCGAGGTCACACAGGAGGGGCGGGCTGGACCCCCTCCTGCAGTTCCTGCCTGAGATATTTTTATCGCGAGAAGGGTACAGCAATCCCTTCCCTCGCGACTTACGAGGTCGATCAAGTACCTGCCATGAGCATGGGTGGGATTCCAGCTTGCGCACCCCGACGTTCAACCACAGACCGTGGGTGCGCACAGCAATCAATCAATCGCCGAGGTCGAGGTTGAGAACAACAACTGCGTCGGGGTTTTAAGCCAAAGCACACGTGACGGACCGTCGAACGGGAGTCTGAGATACTGTACTAAGCATACTGGTACTGTACTTATGGGAACCTTGCTGTTTTCACAGGTTGAGCTACTTGTACCTCTCACCCGCCACTTGGTGGTAAATCAGGTTCACGACCACCTCGAACTAAAACTTGAGAATGTTCTTGCAACCTATGAACTTGACCAGCCCAGGATTGAGCCTGAAAACCCTAAAAAAAAAAAAAATGTAAGGACTTTGCATGGAGCCGATTGTGAGCCCGGCTCAACCTGATGCACTTCAATAACCAGTCCAACCACGTGGGAACGAAGACCCCCAGCTTCTGCCGATACGCCGAAACAGGTCAGATGATTTCAGTCACGCAAGGGTTCAAAACCGTTCCGGTCTCTTGTCGTTACCTTCTGATATCCATGCCGGTCCAACTAAGGCGGACGCCTTCCTTCCGTGGTCACAGCCCAACTACTCCCGTATACCCAATAAAGGGTGTTGTATGCATACACATTTCTAGGAACAGAAATCAAGCAAAGGTAAATTCAGGGAGTTATTATTTTCGGCCAAATCCCCCTCGCCTCTCTCATGGAATACCAGCCTTCCCCTCCCGCCGCACCCACAACAGCACACAAAGGGAAATGAACCGACCGTCAAGACAGCATGTAGGGGGGTTGACTAAAGTCTTTCACGACTCAGCTTTTTGGCACATCTACTACTGTGCCCAGAACGGGATATGGGCTTGTTGCCATTCATTTGCGTCCCCTATTTATACCGGTTTCCACCGTTTTTTCGGGGGAAACTATCATTCAGTAACTGATCATTGCGAGTTGATCAGATTTTGCTCGCGGAATCATGACATGATTTACTTCTACATCATGGCTGGCGGTTGCTCCATGTACAATGGCAAGGCTTTTCTCCGCCTCGGCCTTGGTGCCACAAAGAGACCAGCGGACAACATCAATATATGTGCTCCGGGGGGAGCCTACCTACTTATTAGCTTTTCTGTGCACCACACGGGCGGGACTGGTCAAGCTGAGCTATCATAGCTTGTTGCTTGTCTGAGCACCATATGGGGCGGGCGTGATCAAGCCCATTTGCAGCCCATGCTCTTGCGCGCGCCGGAGGCCTGCACAAAGGTGCACTTGATCGAGCCCGGAGTGTACTGAAGCTGCACTTCCATCCCGACTTTGACACACTTGTTGACCTATCAGCGACGAAAAGGTGAGGGGGTCGAGACCAGTGGACAGAGGGGCAGAGCGGTAAGCCAAGTAGATCCGCACAGCAGAAACGGCGAAAAAGGAGAGGAACAATCGGCGTAGATAAGTAATGTCTGGAATGCTGCGGGGAACTCTGATGGGAGAAGCATGAAAGAGACAAGCGCGAAAGTTGGATGGAAGAATAAATGAAATCTAGAGGGCGTGCAACAAGGAGGGAGGTGAAAAAGAGGGGATAAAGATCGAGGTCGGGAACGAGCGTTTGAAGGTCGAAACATGAAAAGAGAGCTAGGTAGACTAGACCAGAAGTTGGGAGTAGCGTAAACACACAGAGGCATTACTAAACGACCAGACGTTCCCTTACGACGAACGAGAGCTTACTAATGCCGACGAGTAGTATCCGAAGCCGTACACCTGCGGTTTGAACTGAACAGATGAATCTGCCACATGAAGGAATACTCAAAATAAAACACGCCGAACTGCGTCCCCAAAACCGAAAAAAAAAGGGGTAGGGGTAGCACACACATCTCTTCTGCGTCCCCCCTGTTGGGAGCACCCTGCGGGCTAGAAAGCTGTTCTTCTTGCCTTCTCTCTTGTAGACACGGGCTTCTCTGCACCGGACAGCCGGCAAGGGCCAGTCGACGCACACACGTATGCGCACAAAACAACCACAACCAAAGCGCTCTAGTTGTCACATGCGACTTGAGTGGTGTCCCTGTCCCCAAAACCGAAAAAAAAGAAGGGGTAGGGGTAGCACACACATCTCTTCTGCGTCCCCCCTGTTGGGAGCACCCTGCGGGCTAGAAAGCTGTTCTTCTTGCCTTCTCTCTTGTAGACACGGGCTTCTCTGCACCGGACAGCCGGCAAGGGCCAGTCGACGCACACACGTATGCGCACAAAACAACCACAACCAAAGCGCTCTAGTTGTCACATGCGACTTGAGTGGTGTCCCTGTCCCCAAAACCGAAAAAAAAGAAGGGGTAGGGGTAGCACACACATCTCTTCTGCGTCCCCCCTGTTGGGAGCACCCTGCGGGCTAGAAAGCTGTTCTTCTTGCCTTCTCTCTTGTAGACACGGGCTTCTCTGCACCGGACAGCCGGCAAGGGCCAGTCGACGCACACACGTATGCGCACAAAACAACCACAACCAAAGCGCTCTAGTGGTCACATGCGACTTGAGTGGTGTCCTTGTATTCTGGACGGACGACTCCGAACACCCACCAAGAAGAGAACGGTAAATAAATCCAGTATTTTTAGCTGGCGTTCTTCCGTACTCACTGCAGAGATTTCCAACACATCCTCTTGGGAGTGCTGCGCTGTTTATCTCAAACGCGAATGGTCTTTCGGTGACTGCATGTTGTTGTCTTCAAGCACACAGTCGTGCTGTGTTGTTTATCTCAAACGCGTTTAGTCTTTCGGTGATTGCATGCTGTTGTCTTCAAGCTAAAAACCGTTGTTTCCGGTCAGTACAGGTCCAACTGACGCGAACGCCTTCGGTGGGCACAGGCCAACTACCCAAGAAAGAGGTACAACTCTTGTAGGAAGAAAAAAACGGAAATGAACACAAAATAATGAAATGAGAAACAGAGCGAACCAACCTCCTGCGTGATCTGCGGCAAGGGTATGCTCTCCAGGACCTCCCTGAATTCCGCCAAACAACCCCAGTTTCTCCGTCAGAGCCTTCCAACACCTTCCCTCCCGCCGTGGCATATTCTCGTTGATCGTATGTACATTTCAACAAAATAAAAACGTAAAAGAAGCGGAGAAAACTAACCTCCTCCGTGATCTGCGGGACCGGTATGCTCTCCAGGACCTCCCTGAACTCCGCCGACGGCGCCGAGCCAGCCTCGCACACCACGTCCGCCGATCTTGACAGGGGCCGTGGACCGTAACCGCCCGCGAGAGTGATCACGCACGCCGCCCCCACGGTCGGGTGGGTGCCGATGGCGATGCCGCAGACCTTTTGAGAGACGTACAGGGGGGTACGTGTCATCATTCAATAGCGGGGAGTGGGAGTGCGAGCGATCACGCACGTAGCTCCCACGGAAGGGTGGGTGCCGATGGCGATGCCACAGACCTGCGGTATGTGCCATCATTCCATTGGGGGGTCGGTGCCGATAGCGATCCCGCGGACCATTGAGACGATCTTGGTTGCAGGGGGAGTACGTGTCACCAAGAGAGGGGGGGGTTAGGACACCTACGACCCACGCGTACACATCGCCAAGTGGTGTTTCGACGATGGTCTAGAAGCATTTTTTGCGTGTCTACAGAACTGGGCCAACGGAGGCGACGGGCATTCGTGGACCACATATCAACCAAGATGTAGGGCGTCGCATCCATCACGCCTGGAAGCCACGCAAAACCAACAATGTCAACATATCAACCCCCGAAGAAATGGCGCCGCATCCATCAAGTCTACCCCATCCCCGATGCGAACAACCTATCTATACCCATGATGACAACATTCCAAGTCCACCTTCATTTCAAAGCTACCACGAACTCTTCTCTGGGAGAGAGGGAACAGTTGTGTCATTTGTCAGAAAAAAAAAAAAATCGACCTTGAAGTGCGCTGCCAAGAGGGCCTTGCGGTTATGCCTCGATCTCTCCCCGTCGGAAACAAGCAGCTGGGCCACGATGCCCTCGGCCGTTGCGTCGAAGTATGTGCACACTTCTCCGGCCACCTGATGGATGGATGGGTGCATGGATGGATGGATGGTATTCGCGAGACAGTCGATACGGGAGTGATCGAGAGGGTTCGAGTGTAAGGAGCAGCGAAGAACAACTATCAAGAGTTGGCAGCGCTTTTCAGGCGTCGCAGTACGTGCATACTTCTCAAGCCACTTGATGGATGGATGGATGGCGTTTTTCGCGTCGAGGGGGGGGGGGTCGTGAGACAGCAGGCGATCTGGGTGATCGAGAGGGTTCAAGTGTGAGGAGGAGCCGCGAAATGAGTCGGCAGAACTTTTCAGACTCGCACACGTACACCTTCGTCAGGCCGAACAGCTTGGGGGACAACAACGGGGAAAACAAAAGAAACGATCTTATGCAAGCCCGCTCATTGCCGTGTGCCTCTCCTTCGTTTTGGTGACCAATGAAAAGACGCCCGTCCGCCTCATTGCGGCTGAAAATGCGTGTGGGGAGGACATCATCTGGGGGCACGTGAGGGGGGGTCAAGCCTAGGGTATCCTCCGGCTTTGAACGCAGCAACGGTATATGGCGAAGAAAGATGCGCGCACAATAGCAACACCGCCCCCACCATCGCAAGTGGAACAACGGTCGCGACTTCAACAAGACCACGACCAACACCAGCAACAACAATAACAGTAAAGGCGACACCAACACCAACACCAACACCAACACCAACACCAACAACAACAACAACAACAACAACAACAACAACAATCGTCACATCAACAACAACAACAACAACAACAACAACAGCAAAAAGTAGACGAACAACAACAAGAGAAACGGGTCGATTCAACCCACCTGGAAAAACTGGCCGTAGCGGTTCATGCGATCCGCGGCGCCGCTGCCGTCGGAGCCGGAGTGTCCGGTTCTGCTTGTTTCCGCGAGGTCCCTGTGTGGTGCGGTAGAGGCGGGGGCAACAACAATAGAACGCAAAGCTTAAGCTCGTCATCAAACCGCGGGGAGGCGAGCGTGTACGTACATCGACCGCCGTAGTCGCCGTGTGTGTGTGTGTGTGTGTTATTTTTACTTATCCGCACTGCCACAATGTACTTCACACGCAACGAAGACAAACCATCGAACGTACAGCTGCACCAGCACCAGCACCAGCACCAGGCCTGACGTACTTCAACACCAACTACTACGGCAGCAGCAGCAGCAGCAACAACAACAACAATACAAAAACAAAAACAGCATCAACAGCGTCAACAACATTGCAATAACAACAAAAACATCATCATCAACAACAACAGCATCAGCAACAGCATCAGCAGCAACAACAACTAACCTGACGTGATCGGCTGCCGCCTGCTGCATCCCCTCCTTGCTCTCCAAGGGCGCCAGAGCCTCGGTGGTCTTGAGCATCGCCACCACCTCCAAAAGCGGTTTCACGCCCTCCGTCGTCTGAACCGGAGGGCCTGCAAAAGCATACCCACACGCATCCCCGTGTGTCAAGTACTTCGTCTCATGTGCTTCTTAATGCTGGGGGAGGTTAGAAACAGAAGTACTGTTGTTGTTGAGGCCGGCTCGCCCGAAAATGAATGCACGTCTTGGTGTTTTTCTTTGGGGAGGGAGGGGGGTACTCATTGTCGTGCACGCCGTAGTCGTTTGACCATTGACCTCGCATCCCTACAAAGCCGGGACGGAGCACGCCGGGGTCTCACCAGACCAGGCTCTCACATCACCGAGCGCCAAGCGCCGTGAGCTTTTCGGCGAGTCGCATGAAGGGTGTGCGGCATCCTGCTAAGGGTGTTGGGCAACTTGTGCTTACTTCCTTGCGTTCGTATGACAGCTGCTGCGTATGACTTAGTATATTTTCTTATGCTTTCACTTCCAGTGACAGTTGAAAGCACTGTGAAACTGGCTCGAGGGTGCTCGACCAACTTAATGCAACGTGGTGCGATCATCACCCTTACGCGGAGTGAGGGTTCTCGACCCCGCACAACATGATTTACTCGACCACCGTTATGGTTACCACCAAAAAAAAAAGGCAAAAAAAAAAAGCGGTAACCGGGTTGCCGAGCTCGAGAAGCGATCACTTTGTTTTACAACACCGCTGCCGAGCGAGGAAAACCCAACCCCGATGGCAAACACCGCTCTCTGATGCTCCCAAAACAAAGCCAGGCTGAAAAACAAATTCAGAAAATTCTTACGATGTGAGGATTCGACAAGGGGATTCGCATCTTCTGCACCACGACACAGCCTATTTTCATTTGCTGCGCTCCAAAATTCGAAGCATGCCGACAATCCAGCAGTGCGCATCGCCATGAACCTCGCTGGGTCCAACAACGTTGATATGGTTTCAGATCCACGTCCATACCGTACCACTTAACACCACCGCCTCCACCAACAAGCAACATCAACCGCAGAAGAAGGGAAACCGTCGAGAAAGATCTCTCACCGGTGGGAGACTGGTACATGCCCTTGTCGTAGAACTCCTGCAGAGCCTCTAGTTTGGCAGCGTATCCCTTGGGGTCAGCCCTGCGCACATGCGCCCCCCCCCCCGGGGTAGCGAAAAAAACAAACGCGGAGATGTTTGTACCCAAAGACTGATTTATCTGTATCAACAAGGAACAAGCAACCCGGAGGACATCCCACACACACGCGCGTGCCGAGTTCCGTCCTCTCCAGACGCGTGGTCAATGGTCTAACCGCTAAGGCATGAAAAGCATAAGAAAGTCCCCCCCCCCACCGCCGCAACGACTTTTGTGTCGTCCGCATCACCTCCCTTCTCCTAAGCGCCCAGCACCTCCCACAAAGTGCACGTGCAACTTAACCCCGCTCTGTGCTTAAACACTACACACGTGAACACACTACACGCGGTTTCTGTTTTCAGCCGCACCGATACTGACGTTATTTTCGTTGGTCAGCCGGTTAGCGCGGTTGATTGAAACAATCAAGGACGTCGACCTCAACCGCCGGCACCGACGCGTTTCATTGGCCAGCGGGTCAGCGCGGCTCAATGCTAACAAAGCACACACAAACACACGCCATGACGCCCCCTCACGATGTCCCAGATCGTGGCCTTTACAAGCATATTCTGCTTTCAACCGCACTGAGACTGGCGTCTTTTCATTGGTCAGCCGGTTGGCGCGGTCGATGCCAACAATAAAAAAAAAAAAACACACACACACACACGAATGCCCCCACCCACCTAAGCTCGTTAATCTCGGCAAGCACAGTCTCCGGCGTTCCCCCGCCGACCTTGTCGTCGTCCTCGTCCCCCGCCATCACAGCGCTACCGCCGGGAGTGGGTGGGGTCATCACGCCGAGACCACCAGCACCTCCCCTACCCCCCCCCCTC